CACAAGTCACAGCAGCAAAAGGTTCTGACTGCACGGGTGGGTTGTCATGTCAATTCTGATCAGCATATCTCTCGATAGACCTTTTAACTAGTTCAGAGAGAGTAAACAACATATTTGGGGAGATGGGGCGTTAACATCTGGAGACACAGGAGATAATAATAATAATACATTTGATTTATAAGCGCACTTTTCATTTGCGTAAACAAAACTCAAAGTGCTACAAAATTAAAAATTAAAAAAGGCGAGATGTCTCTCTCTCTCATCTGTGGCGCTTAGCGTAAAACCCCCTATGTCCGCTAGGTCAAGCCATAAAACTTATAGTATCAACATACGACTACATTATCACATTCCTTACGGAAGATAAGGAGCAGGGCTGATCGTAAATGTCAACACACAGAAAATGTTAAATATCTTAGGAGTAAGGAAGAATTATTCTTTGACACTTAGGAAGAGAGAAGAAATATTCTCTAACACTTCCCATAATAATTTATAAAAAAGTGTTTTAAAACAAAAAGTTAAAAATAGTTGCACATCTCTGACTTACTGACCAATTTATTTTTAATACACTCACGTAATAGTTTAATACTCAACAGAATTCTACAAAATAATCAGTTAACAACACAGAGACAATGGTCTTCTTTAGTATTCACTAAGCACAAGAGCAGTGTTACATCCCGTCCCTCTACCAAGCGGTAGTGGCTCGTGGGAAGACCCGCAACATAAAAACAACCACGCCAAACACAGCATTTAGTTATCGACGGGCATTTATTTTCAGCACAGCCGTAACTCACATGCATGCCTACCGGCAATAAGGAACCAAGTCTGGAGGATCGTAAAACAAACAAAAGAAGAAGGGGGCCTGGGCCAGCCACACCATGAGCCGTAGGACCCAGACTTCCCTCCTCTACCCAAAGGTCCAAACACAGCCTACTGGGAAGGAAACAAAGTCGCGAAAAACCTATACTAATATCCTCCAGAGTTCACACAAAAAAAATACAGCAACATATATATATATATATATAAATCCACACGTGGTGAGAGGAAATCCACGGTCGTATTCCCTTCGCATCAGGGCAGGAAAAGAGACTCTTCTCCTCCAGCTTCTCCCTTTTTAAGTCGTCCCCAACTGAATGCAATTAGGACACCTGGGGAGGCGGAGCCAGGGGCGGATCAGGTGCACCTGCGCAGACAGAGAAAAACACGGAGCACGTAACAAGCAGACAACAAACTAGTAAAAGTAAGTTATTTAATGAGCAGCCAACAATCAAAATTATGGAGTTACTGTTTAAGGACATTGCAGGCTAAAAGATCGTTTTTTCATGTACTTGTTATTTTGGTCTATTTTGCTTCCATGTTTTCTTTCACTCTAATGGAAAGAAAACTTCCAAGAAACACATATAAATGGTGTTAGTTTTACTACCACGTCTGAATTCATCTATAGATTTAAAGCTAATCTGCATTTAAACATAACATTTCAGGGGGAAATACTGACTTGACGTAAGTAACTATCTGGGGAATAGACAGATGTGAGGTGATGTTTTTTTTGTTTGATCCTTTTCACCTGCAATCAATGCCTTGGTAACTGCATGCAAATTAGCGCATTTTAATTAGGCCTAGTTAACGCCTAATTTGCAGATCAATGTGGCGATTGTGATGACCTTATTAGATTCACATATACTGTATTTATTTTAAGTGTCTCCCCTTAAGTACAGTACATTAGCCTGTATGCCCATGATAAATTACCTTAGCTAAACCTTGAGCTAACTTATCCATTAGCTAGCCTACCTTAGTTAACAATATTTGTTATTGTCTTTTAGCTAATTAGCTGTAAACTCGAGGCACTGGCACTTTTGTAATTTGTTCATCACCACTCACCTTCAAAATAAGCCAAGAAAAGCCGGCATAACATGGGACTGTAAAGTGGGATTGGGATGGGTATTCAATCAATATATTCTTGGAAAGGGAAACTGTGCGCAAACAGCAGTAGATATATATTCATTTATAAACATTTAAAAAAAGGGGGGGGAAAGGGCACTTTCTCTGGAGGAAGAAAAAGAGCAGGGGCTCAAGCCCACTTTTGGCGCATTTCCACTGCAACGGGGTAGCCCCGTTTAAGCGTCCCTAAGCGTCCTCGCTCAGGCCTCGGGCTGCCTTGCTGGCCGTCCGAGGCCGTGGCGCATTTCCATTACAGTTTAGGACCTGGGGTAGTAACGCAGTGTAGGCGGGGCGATCGGCTTTGTTTTTGTTCACATTTCGAGTTGTTCCGTCGAGCTCCCGCTGGATGTTATCATCCCCAATGAGATGTAGGAACGTCGTCACCTCCTCGGTCGACCACGGTGTGCTTTTCTTATTAGACGTAGCCATTTTGTAGCTCCTCCGTTTACAAAATGCTGTTTATAAAAATGCTGCAAGCTTGCTTCTAAATATATATGCGACGCTAGGGATGAACTCGCGCGCGATCTTGTGACGATTCTCTCTGACCAATCAGCAGTCGAGAGTGTTGACGTCACTAGTTCAGCCCTGTCTGATAGAACCACGATATTAAGGGGCCGGAAAAAGAGGGAAAAAGTACCCGCTAGCCGGTACTAGGCTATATGGAAAGGCCACCAAAAACTGGCCTGGCCGCTTGAGGACGGTTAAGGACGCTTAAACGGGGCTACCCGCTGCAGTGGAAATGCGCCATTAGATGTCTGTGTGCACGTGCCTGCAGGAGAGTGTACTCGTTGTATGAAATATATATATCTCCAAACTCATAATTGGAAAATGTTAAGATTCAGTGTTAGATATAGGGCTGAAAAACTTGTCCTACAATGTTTTGATTCATTTTCATTTCATTCAAATCACTTCCTTTTGTAGGTATGGACACAAGGCAGCCACGCCTTGCGTTGCTTAACTATCTATTTCTCTCAAATAAGACCATCATTTACAAAATGAACATCATGCTGTATTAAAGAAAATTAGTAATTGAAAGCGTAAACTCTTTAGGTAATTGCTTAATCATCTAATAAATCAAGTACATTTTTTCATAGACTTCTATACATTCAAAATGATTTTGCAATCAGCCCCCTGCTGGCCTTTAAAAGTAAAGAAGGTTAAGGGCACTTCAACACTATAACTTTTCAGATCCAGAGTCTATTCCATTTGTTACAGTCTATGTCAATAGCACTATAGAATTCCGTTATATACATTATTTCCTGTGTCTTCATTAGTGATTCTTAGCATCATGTTCCTAAATATAAAAGTAATGCCAATGGTTTCCACAATTTACTATAAAGACCTCAAATATGGAACAAATGAGAATATCCGAACTGGACTGGATTTATTGGATATAATTATTTGTATCTGACTGCATCCCAAATGTTATACTTTTAGTCTCATGGTGTTTTGGAAACACAAAATAAAACAAAAACGCACGTCGCTTAGCCTTTATCCACCTATAATCCTATGATTCAGTTTTATGCCTATTATACATCCAAACACTGTTATTTTAATTATGAAGGTGTTCTTCAACTTTATAGCATAAAAGTTAAGCTGACAGTCACTTTTGTTCTACCGCTATGCTCCATATGGATCCTCGAATGATGCCAAGGAACTAATTGATTTATAATAAGAACGAAGGAACTGATGAAAGAAAGTGCAAACACTTGGAATATGAATGAGTCAGACACTGTATGGAAAACATTTAATGACACAAAAGTCTCTATTTAGTTCATACTGTCTTACGACCAATATCACTTTATTTCTTAGTGAGTCAGTGCTCAGGCTCATTAAATCAGACACCAGTGTTTTTTCTCCAGGCTGCAGTCAAGGAGCAAACTATTTTTTCTTCAGGGACATTCTGTATCATTATGTCTGTAGTAGGTACATCCTCTTGATGTATTATGAGACCAAGACGGCTGTGTTGTATGGCCTCCAGAGATCATGAACACACCTCTACCTCCACCTGCTGGTCAAACTGTCTGCGTTTTTATCCCAACACCCCTCATCAACCTCTCTCTGAGGGAGAGCAGAGAGGCTGTGCGAGGGAAATTAAACAGCAGGTGACTTACAGAGAAAAAACAGCAGGTGATTATTCTTAAATGGAGTGAAAATGACTATGGCCTTTGTCGCTAAGAATAGGGTTTTAATTTGCACCCTGTGTATGTGCTTTGCTATCAATTTGCTCCCACCCACACAAGCACTTGTCACTCTTTTGCTACTTATCACTTCACTTCTTTTTAAAGGTTATTGTTAACAAAACTACAACAGCCATTCTTTACTGAAACTATGATACATTTACCTGTTAGATAGTTTTGCTTACTCCATTTTTCGGTTTCATTTCACAATAGCAATTAGATAATAACAATAACGATCCTGTCCTGTGCTTACCTTTTATGGTAATGGCCATTACCTCTTCTTCTACAAATTAAATCAAACCTTTGCAATTGCAAATAATGAGATGTGAAATGCAGCATCTTTATAAACATTTAAAACATTGACACAATTGAAGTATGGCTGCAGACTAATTTAGTTGTCTTCCTTCTTTCTTTTCATTTGTCTTGGTATTTTTTCACCCTATTATACTGTCAGACACTTTCATCCCTATACTTACTCTCAGTCCTTAGAGACCTGATTACCAAAGTGCATAAGTAGCAGAGAAAAGAGTATATGAGAGTAAGACATACATATTCAATGTCCATTTACAGAGAATGTTGTACTTCTTTCCATAGTGAGACAAACATTTCAGACTATAAATAATCTGGTTGATTTGGCTAGACAGCGGTTCGTAACCTTTTTTGGCTTGTGACCCCTTGTTACTCCTCATCACAGGTAATGTCCTTACATTGTTTGAACAGTCCTGAAAAAACGTTTTGTTATTAATACTTTAGGTATAATAACTTTTTATGAATTACTTTGGAACCCTTACAATTAATTTGTTGTTCGCATTTTGTGCTTTTATTTTGAAAGCATCACTCACCGGAAGTATCCTTGAAGTTGTCCTATTAGCTTGACGTCGCGCGACATGGCTCTTGGTTTGGATGAAAACTTCAGTTCACAGAGAAACTCAATGGGAAGGTGAACGCTAACCATGAAGCTCCTGTGAAAAGTCCCAAAGTATTTGGAGTAAAGCTGCTTTTTTTTATTACACTTGGTCGAAAAATGTAAGTTTAACCGAAGTTTAAATTAACTTTTGAAACAGGCTTAGTTTTAACGGTTTGTTTGTCCAAGTGTGGTTGGTCTTGCTAGCTTAATTGTGTGACCATTAACGCCTTATTCATTTTAATTGGACGTAACGTAGCTAGCGTGATACGAATGTGTGTGTTAGCTAACGTGACGTACAGAGTTTAGCTTAGTTAGTTTTCAATTGTCAGTATTTCGAGTATCCTCCATATAGTTATTAAAATGGGTAACTTTTTACGTACAATATTTACTGTGTTATTTGTGGAGACATACGTGTAACGTGCAGTTATTGCTGTTAATTGTGCTTTTATTAACAGTTTAAATTAATGTTCTTGTTTGTAATCCGACATTTTTTTGTACTTGCATAAAAATGTGTTATGGAGAAAAAGTATTATTCCCTCAGAAATCCCCTCAGGCATTATAGTTTCACCAGTTGAATGAATTATGCTATCTTTCTATGGGAACACTTATTTTTATTTTGTTTTTAACCGCAGCTAATTAATGCATCACATGTTAATACATCTACAAGCCAAGTGATGAGTCACTGTGGTGAACCTCCAGTCTGGCTCCCACACAGATTGACTGTATAAGCAGCAGAAGCCTACACAAAGCCTGCAGTTTAAAGGTCCTTCTGGTCCAGTGTCAGCTTCTTTCATGATCCATCTCACGCTGCTGCAGCCTTTGTTTGGGGTACAACTCTGTAGTATAACGTTGTTCAGGAAAAAGCTCCATCCTGAGGCTCTGCATGACCTGCTGGCAGCCCTCTTGTCTGCGTCTGCTGATGTCTTAGCTTCCGGGCAAAGGAAAGCATAACAAAGGATTTTATTTCCTTCTCTCACAATAACCATATTTGTATCTCGTCACACTCATGGCTAACAGTTTGCTGCTCAGAAATTCCAGCTGTTGCACACTTGATTGCATAGCCATATCTGATGTGGCTGCAGGAAATTAAGCTTAATTAAACACATTTTCACATTGATTGTTTCATTAAGACACAGATCTAATCTCCTGGCGCACATCATTTTGTTTCATCAAGGCATTTGTTTGTTGTTCAGTGACTTAAAGTTCTTTATCAGCCTTAGTTTGTATTCCCAGCTCATTTGGATGGATCAACATGTATTTTGAATTCTCTACAAACTAAGTGTTACATACATAGAGGTAGGCCTTTCTATATCATGCCCCTTATTTCCTGATGGTTGCATTCTTTGCATTCTTGGTAGAGTACTCTAAAGTGTATTTTGAAAGAAGGGAGGTGTCAATTTAGAGTCATTAGTCATTGGGGTGTTTACAGGCTTCTGAAATTAAATTAAAATCTTAATCAAAAACGTATCGCACAGGAAAATAATGAAAGGGCCGGGTTTTATATGAGATGTGGCTTTTAGATTATTTCAGATTTTAGTTTTGTTGGAGCAGTCAGTGCTGGGAAATGGCCATTTCTGACTTAGAGGAAGACATTTCTCCAGAGTGTGCCAGGAAATGCTTCCTGACAGGACTGAGTGACGGTCTTCCTGATTGTAGGAATGCCTCTGTGTTTACAGTTTCATTCATTGTTGCCACTATTGTAGACCTCATTTGCCTTTGCAGTTCTTTACATATCTTAGGCTTAGTTTACAGCGACAACTGTCACATTATGGCCTAAAGGAAGACTTTATGCTTCTGTGCTGAGACCTTGATGACAAAGGCAGTGAAACTTAGTTGCTTGATGACTTCTTACTCAGTTCCTCCTGCCCCTATACTCAATCCTCTTTTATTATTTCCCCCCTCCTTTGAGATTTTTGACTATGATGTAGTTGAGGGCCGCATGGAAAAACCGCAACAGCTTGGGTTCAATGTCACGGTGGTATCATGTGAGTCTCTGAAGGACAAAGAGTTGTTTGTGCAGGGTCTCAATATGGCCACCGCTGCACTAGTTTAAAGTCTGGGCTGTCGTTTCTGTCAAACAGTCTGACCTCACTCGCAGCAGCCAAAACTAAAAGTCCACTGAACCTTCTCTTTGGAGGAAATGTAAACACACGCATGGTGTTTGACTGCTGGATTGGATTTCCAAAAGTCACGCTTCATGTCTGTGTTACCTCTCCAGGTAGTACTGTAACTATTATTGTTGTACTGCAACTAATTGAGGTTATTGCTAAAACAAGTCGACTTATTTGATCAGCAACTATTGAAAAAAAATCGATTCGCAATACAAATATTTACATTTCTTTGTATTTTATATTACCAATAAATAAAATAGAAGTTGGAAAGAGTATTGTTTATCACGCAGCGTCCACATGGCGGCGTGTGGAGAAGCTTGCCGGTGGGCATGTCTGAAACTCAACCAACAACCAATCACATGAATCTCCCGCCCCGGACAAACAAGCACGCGGTTTGATTGGCTAGAGCTTGTACTGGCTTATGATTTAATTGGCTGACGCTTCTGTCGAAGCTTCAACAGTAGAACATTGCTCAACTTTTGAAGCGAGCAACGCGAAGCGACGGAACCACAATGCAGTTCGGCAAAGCGTAACGTCACCCCATTCAAAGTGAATGAGCAGAAGCGTTAAAGCTAGCAGGAAACTAAATGATGAAATGATCCAATGTTGTTTTTATTGGCTGTAAATAGAACTTGGAAAGGTCAATATCTTGGCAACTGTGAAAGCTAAGTGAAAACACAAGTGTACTGTGGCTACTGGATGCAGTGAGGAAGTCATATTTCTCTTGGTAATATGTTTGATAGCTAAACTGAGGAAAGAATCAAGCAATATCTTGCACTATACTATGACCAGTTACTGTACTAGCAAACACTAATGCATCTTCTAATACTACTCTGAGGCAGTTCAATTCTGAAATGCACATCTGTGCCACAGCTGGAAGTAAGCTATCGTAGTGTTAGAGGCACAAGCAGAGGCGTGTGTTTGAATATATGCGTCCGTGTGTGTGTGTTCAGAGCCAGATCACTCAGAATGGTCATGTTATCCCAGGCTATTTTCTTTTCCAAAGCATTGTCCCTCCCCCTCAGTATCTCTCTCTCTCTCTCTCTCTCTCTCTCTCTCTCTCTCTCTCTCTCTCTCTCTCTCTCTCTCTCTCTCTCTCTCTCTCTCTCTCTCTCTCTACATCTGGTTGCTGTTAAAGCCACCTTGCAGCAAAGTAGGTAGGACTTTCCGACAGATTTGTCTTCCTATAAAATATATTTGTAAATTTGACTTCACTTGGATACTTTCAGAATGGTGGCATTGATGCATTTATAAAAGGTTTGAATGCTGTGTTTGGAATAGAGCTTTAAGTGAATTGTGAGCCTCAAACTGAGTGCATACAGATTACTATGTAATGTTGTGAAAAGTCCATTTGAAAAAGCTGTAACCATCTCCTTGTTTAGCCTAATGTCTTTTGAACAACATTTTTCAACTCAACCCACGAGAACCTAAGGTTAGCTGATATTAAGTTATATTGTCTTTGACAGAAAGAAATTGAAAAATCTGCTTCAGAATACGACATCTGTTCATTTATAATTTTTCTCCAAAGTAGTTATCTGTTTGGAGTTGAAAGACTTTCCTTCAAATTCTCAATTCCTTCACAGATTTAGATGAGAATAGAAATTAAAATGTTTTGTTTTGTCAATCCAAAACCCAAGGATTAAAGTGTTATATAACTGCAGGGAATCTTCCTTTTAGAAATGGCTGCTTTTACATTAACATTTATATTTAAAATGGTTGCCAGTAACATACTTTCTTTCTAGACAAATACTTGAACGATTATGCTGTTATCAAAATAGTTGGACGAAGATAACTAAATATTTAAAATTGGTTACATACAGTACATACAGTATTGTTAAATTTAAAGAAAGACTATGGTATTTACTTAAACAGCTGGTCCTTTTTTTTTTTTAGCAAACTTTTCTTTTAAAATAGTAATTAGTGCTTTGATTAGGAATCATTTTCTGCGTTTGATTAAAGCACCATCCTGGGTGTTCACAGCACCAGGACGATTTAGTATTGAGTCCAAATAAGAGACCATGTTTCCAAACGCCTGATATTTAGGTTTTTAAATGAAAAAAAGTCTGTGGAGTCTTAAGGAAGGAGGGAGGGAGGGAGGTCAGCAGGGATGTCAGTACCAGGCTGTGTTTGGTTTTTTGGATAAGTAACCTGCTCAGGAATGTGTGTATTGCTCACTCCTACACTTTGGCGCTATCAGTCATCATGCACACACTTCTTCATAGAGATGGACTCTCCTCTGTTGGCTTTTCTCATTTAGTCAGAACGTTTTTAATGGATCATCAAGGATGTGAAAAGAAGTGGAAACAACTCAGCCTGGCATTTCAAAAATTCCTGGATTTATGAGTCTAGTGAATGGACAGGCTAGTTAACCTGAGTTTCAATGCAATCTGCTGTTGCATGACTAGCAGAAGGTACTTGTAATTACATTTAAGCATCAACATAAAAACAATTCAGTATTTCGAAATAGGTTGGTAAGATGCTCTTTTGTCCACTAAATTGGATTTCTATGAAACTCATAATACCAGTTTTGATGTGGCTTTGACCACTAGACACCGACAGGAGAGCAGCCTCAATTATGGTTCACACTTTTTTTGATTTGTTTTATCTTTCAAAATGTTTCACCCTACCCTTCTTCACTCCCCCGCTTTTGCATTGTGACCAGAAATCGGTACACAATAGTTAAGTAGAGCAGAAGATAGCACACACTGGTGTCTCTCTCCTCATGCCATTTGTTTTTATTGCATTCACACAGTGAGAACACATATTTGGATTCTCAACAAACAACATCAGGCACGAGATTTAGGTTTCTCTCAGGGGGGGAAGCTTCCACCCCGGTGAGAGTAAGGGATGGTTTTGAATCAACCTGTAAGACCTGGATCTGTGGCACTCCTCCACCCTGAATACCTCATGAGAACTGTGACATTTCATTTGAAAGCTGTATTATTTCTAAATGTAAGGTATTTTCTGGTATGCTTACTAACCAAGATCCTGTTTTGTAATGTTTTAAAAGGGCTACACAAAATGTTTTTATGTGTTCATCTTGTTGACTAAATCCCCAGAATATTTTCATGGAGTATTATGTAGTAATACAAAACAGTCTGTATGAAGAGGTTTTAGAAACATTTAGCAACAAGCACTTAAGGCCCCTTGTTGACATCCTTGCTTTATTCACGCTCTTTATGCACATGTTTTACTCTTCTGGGTGTGACCCTGTGGCCCCTTAAAGGGAGGAAATAAAGTAAACCTGCAAGCCCTGCCACCCCCCAACAAGTACCCCTGAACCCCTGAACAAGTTGAGCCACTGTTTATTATTTTGTTAGTTCTGAGCTTTAGCTGCGCACTCCACATACAGTACTGTGTACAATCTCATCCACTTTACATCTGATTGAGCTTCAATTGATAAGTGGTGCAAGTAAAGGAGAGCCTTGATAATAATTCAGCCGTCATGTGGATTCAACTTTGTTATGGAGGTTTGAGATGCCATGCCGGGCATGCCAATGCTACAAGGCCCCTGGGAGAATAGTGCCATTATTTCAGTTAGGGTCTTGCCCGTGACCGTGACCGCCGTACTGACGGAAATAAGGCTTGTTGGGTAATAAGTCCTGGCAATCACATTGTTTTTTGTCTCTCAGGGAGCCTGTTTTTTGTGGCACAGAGTGCAGGGTTAATTTGATGCAGACGTCATTTGAGAAAGAAGAAAGAGGGCTTGTACTCCAACAGGATTAGTGATAACACTATCATGTTTATTTCATAAGGAAATGTGAAAGCATGCAGGCTGGCTTTGTTGTTTAAAACGTATGCTTGTGTGGGAGAAGAGCAGTGCTCTGAACTGTACACATACAATAAAATAGGAACTCACAAATATTTGAATTAGAGTTACATAGAGTTAACTGTCTAGTCTATAACATGTCAGAAAACAGTTAGAATCTACATTTCCTTTTCCCATGTATGGGTCTTAAAATGTCTTGTTTTGTCTGATCAACAGTCCAAAAATATCCAGTTTACTATCTTAAAAAAATGGTGGAATTTAATGTCGGAGAGCTTTGGTTTAGTCCTTTTTTTTATGTGTCCCTCTCTTCTTTCTCTCTCAGATTCATTGAGCTCAAGATGATGTCGGACGCCAGCGATATGTTGGCAGCAGCCTTGGAGCAGATGGATGGGATCATAGCAGGTAACCACATTGTACACTTGGACGTAAAGACCATAGCACTTTTTTAAGTGGGCATGGCATACTATAGGGTCTAGCCACATCTGGAAACCATTGAATTGCAAGCTGGGAATACTATGTCCAGTGGAAGGTAACACAATGTGCCCTTCTCCTTCCACTTCTACCTGCAGTTTGATGTAATCCCCCTGAATGTATAGAAACATTTCAAATAATGCTGAAGTTGTGCTGCTGGGTCACTGGCCCTTTCTGCCTCCACTGCATTCTTCCATCATGAGAAATTAAACAAAGTTTCCATTGTCCCCGCCATGACAGAAACTAATGATTATTCAAGCTCTGAGTTTGGAATAAAAACTCCTGCTTGGGAACTTTTGGCCTCTCAGCTGCAGATGAGCAGAGCAGGCTTCACTTTCAGAGTCCCCACTTTTCCACTGATGTGTGTAATTATAGCGCTGACCTTTCCAATGGGAGCAAGGCAGTTGATCACATGACATCTCCACTGTTTCTGCAGAAACCACAGCCCTCACAGAGCCACACTACCTCGCTACTGGGAGGAAGCCATGATTGTTCGGATATTTATTTATTTGGCTCCCTCTTTGTTGTCGTTGGACATCTTCATTACGGCTGACATTTGAGACGAATGACAGATGGTGCAGAGTAGGCAAGCAGCACATGAAAAACTGTACTGGAGTTCAGTCAACATGTTGTTTCTAAGCAAAAAACAGAACATGTAATTTCCTCAGATAAGCAGGAAGATTTAATTTCCTTAATGGCACATAGTGGGTGTTTCTCAATGTCGAGGAAGGCTCCTCCAGAGCCACTATTTCAAGGATGCTGCGTCATCGAGTCCCGCCGAAGGACTGTTCCAATGTCCAGAATCCTTGGAATTCTACCGAGGCCGGCGTCCTTCGTTGCGGTAAATTTCGAGGCTGCACATGTGTATCCTCCGCTGTCTTAAAATCCCCACAATGCTTTGCGCACGGACCAATTTCCAATATCTTTGGCGAAAATCACGCTCCATTTAAGGCGGGGCCTCGCATATGACGCACACCTGTTAGCCTGTTCCACCATTCTTCGTTTTCCGAGGCTAGGAAAGATTCTTGCCTCGCTTCTGAACGACCTGACTCGGAAGACATGTCCTACCAAGGAAGCGTCCTCAACATTGAGAAACACCCACTGTGTCACATGACTTGTAATAGAAGACCTTAGAACATTTGCTTGCGCAGTATGTTCGTGTATGTTTGTGTAAACAGGGATAAAGAGAATACTTATAAGTTGGAGTACAATTCTTGCTAAAAGATGCTCAATATTCTATGTGTAACATTTGAGTCACTTAAAAAATGAATTTTCTCAGGGGAAATTAACTATAATAAAAATCGCTGATTGATTAAAGTCAATATTAATGATCAAATAGATGAAATGCCTTTTGTAGTTTCACCCATGAAGTTTTCATGGGACATTTGTTTGAATACAAATGAATTGGAATAAACATTGGGTATGCATATTTCTGCATGCCCAAGTTCTTGTCACAAACCCACACAGGGTTTTGTTGATATGCTCTGCTTTTGTTAATGGCACCCACACAACAAGAAGAGCTCTGTAAACACACAGTTACACAAACACTTATATTTATAGCTTTGAATAGTCATCCTGCTCCCACCACACCCCCACCAACATATTAGCATTGAATGTGGCTTTGGCAGTAAATTCTTCCTTTTGTTGTTGTTGATGCTTGCCATTTGTATAGACACAAATACACTTTGCCCACAGAGAAGTGATGCAATGACTACTTCACAACTTCACTGTTTGATTTGGGTTGAATCTCTCCAGGCTCTAAGGCCATGGACTACAATAACGGGCTGTTTGACTGCCAGTCGCCCACTTCACCTTTCCTGGGGGGCCTCCGGGTGCTGCACCTGCTGGAGGACCTGCGCGGGATGCTGGAGCTCATGGACAACGAGGAAAAGGACAACCTGCGCTGTCAGATTCCTGACACCACTGCAGAGGGGGTGGCAGAGTGGCTGCAGGGACGATTGGTAAACAATGATAAAGTGCCATACTGTATATTCTTGCATGTGTTCGTGACAAAGAATTCGACTATTGTGTGTTTTTTATGCTTGAAAAATGTCTCCCTCTCTTCAGCAGCATTACATTTGTTATTGTAAGTGTATTGTGATTGCTTGAAGGCCAGATCAGATTTAATACAGACAAAAATGTCAGATGTTTAGTTAAAACAATAACAGTTACGATCCCAAGCTAACAACCATCCACGAACTAACACAAACACGTGAATAAATTGTAAAACTGCATGTCAAAGCAAGCAGATTTATAGCACAAGTCATACACAAGGCAGATTTAAAGTGCTGTCATATTTTAAATGATAAATTAGTATTCGGAGAGAAGAGTTACACTAGAGACCATTTAAGGATTGGATCAAGCTACGCCAACTTGTGCCAGGAGGGGGTAAAGTAGGGAGGGGGGGTTTGCATTCAAATTTCATTTATGATCAGCGGGAGGATACACCATCGGTAAACATTGTTTCAACCTAGCGAAAGTAAACATGTTGCAGATCTCCAAACGAACTGTCATTCCAAACCTTTTTCTGTCTGTGGAGGATAACATCAGCATCTTTGCAGGCTTCATTTCTTTAAGAAAGCCTGCTATGAATGATGCTCTGATCTGCGTTGCATCTCTTGATCTTTCTGCATTGCCTATACCGGGACTCTGTTTATTGTAGAAGTGCTGTTATGACGTGCTTCATGAATGATGGAGTTCCTATAGGAGTCCTGCAAATAGTTTCCATGGCGTTGACGCAGACGGGGGCTCTTGTTTTTCTTCCCTCACAGCCTCGTCCCTCCATCTGTGAGCTGGAGACTTTTGATTTAATTTGCAAATCACTTTCATGTGAGAACACTATCGACCCTCACATGTTCCTCTGAAAACCCAACTCGCATATTTGTTTTTTTTATCCAAGAGAATACCATGTGTCTCTAGGCTGGTGTGTATTTTCATTAGGACTCCTCATTCACACCCGCACTTCAACATGACAGATAAAGTACAACCCCCTTCTTTTCTATTCAATCTAAACAAACAGTTGACGTCTCTGATCTATTTGATGCGACAAATGCAGCAGTTTGTTCAGATTACCCGAATCAACACTTATTGTTTCTCATTACAGACTAACGGTCACGGCTCAGAAGTAATCTACCAAGAACGTCTGTCACGAGTGGAGAGTGACAAAGAGTGTCTTATTCTTCAGGTCGGTGGGCACAATTCTCCATTGTAGCTTCAAGGCAGCAGAATAATTGCACTTGATTACGCAATTAAGTGGTTTTGTTCGTGGCTTTTGTTGGTTTGTTTGTTTTGTTATTTAACAGAATACTCAGAAACTAACATACATTCAAGGAATCTGGTGAAAAGATTGATGGACGGTTTACACATGATTAGTTTTCAATGCAGATTGGGAATTTACTAAAAATTATTGTAAAAAGTTTCATTTTAATCTATCTTTTGATATTCAAAATGATCCTGTTGTCCTATTAGTTTTGTTTTCCCCTGGCATCTCACATCAGACCGACCAATCAAATACAAAAAATATGACTGATAAAGTAAACAGAATAAAAGTCTACATTTATAGCTGTGGGTATACTATTCCACTGACTATTCCAAGTTAATTTTGAAGGCATTCTAGCTCAAATTGTGTTGCAGCTGTTTCATAAAATGAACACTCAAGGCTAGCATTCCTCTGCTTATCTCTTAATGTCAACAAAACCCTTGAAATCTCAAAACCAGCAATCTGGTAGTCAACACTTACCTGCCCTTTCATTCACACTCAAAGGGCAGGTTAGTTGGAAAGGGAAGGATCCTTAAGCTTAGTCTTTAAATATTTGAAAGATTTAAGTTATGGGCTTTTTATAGTTGATCATTTGATCAGCTAAATATCATAAATGCTGGTCTATAAACTGTCCCTCAGCCTCCAGTTGAGTATCCCTGACCGACAGTATGTGATCTCTGAGTGCTCTGTGTGATTGTTACCAATGAATCTCCATTGTGCAGGTCAGTGTTCTCTCGGATCAGGTGGAGGTGCAGGGTGAAAAGATACGGGACCTGGAAAACTGCCTCGATCATCATCAGGAGAAACTAAATGCTACTGAAGAGCTGCTGCAACATGTGAGGCCTTAAAAAACGTGATGCATTTCTACGGTGGCCCTGAAGTGCAAGACACCACAGCATTTCACAAAACGCCACGGCATTTCAGAAAACACCACAGCATTTCACATTGGACGGAAAGGGTATTCCTTAGGGAGAACACTTCTTGTTTGTGATTGGACAGAGCCAGCCATAGAAGCACTGCTGTGATTGGTTGTTTTTGCTGCCAGTCAAGAAATGACGCTTCGTGATTGGCCCAACACATCAGCCGTTAGCTGTTAGCACACACTCAGAGCTCACAGCTCCTCATATCTGTTCAGAAACTAGACAAAAGTTCAACATATACAAAACACAGACTGTCTATGTCATGGTGAATACAGTCGCTGCTTTATTTATGTCTGTATGACGTTGTTGTGAGTGTGGACGGAGCAGCTACAGGTTAGTTTAGCCTGATCGATCCGATTCCGATAGGATTTACATGGAGATACGGCCCGCCCCCTCTCCAGCGTCTTGTTTGAATGACAGGAGTAAACATAGAATTAATGCTTTATTAATTCATGGTTTTTAAGGGGCTTATCTCCATGTAAATACTATGGTAGACCACCCAATATTCACATCGCTCTAATCGCTCGAGTTTCACCGCGGCTGTCAGCTGTGTTTGCTCCTGTCATTCAAACAAGAGGCGCTGAGAGGGGGCGGGGTGTATCTCCAAGTAAATCCTATGGGATACCAACTACAACAAAAGGAACATATTTGACCGTGATTTAATTGTAATACACGTTTCAAAGTGATGCCGAAGTAACTACATACTGATAACGGTTAGTAAAAACTATGAATTAACGCTTTGACAAGTCTGCAGATAAGACGGCAGGCGAAAAGCTTTTAAAATGCGTGTTTTCTGAATGGAATCGGATCCATCAGGCTAAACTAACCTGTAGCTGCTCCGTCCACACTCACAACAACGTCATACAGACATAAATAAAGCAGCGACTGTATTCGCCATGACATAGACAGTCTGTGGTTTGTACATGTTTAACTCTTTTCCAGTTTCTGAACAGATATGAGGAGCTGTGAGCTCTGAGTGTGTGCTAACAGCTGATGCGTTGGGACATATTTCGCTGTCGGGTGTTGACCAATCACGAAGCGTCATTTCTTGACTGGCAGCAAAAACAACCAATCACAGCAGTGCTTCTCTGGCTGGCTCTGTCCAATCACAAACAAGAAGTGTTCTCCCTAAAGGAATACCCTTTCCGTCCAATGTGAAATGCTGTGGTGTTTTGTGAAATGCTGTTGTGTTTTGTGAAATGCTGTTGTGTTTTGTGAAATGCTGTGGTGTTTTGTGAAATGCTGTTGTGTTTTCTGGAATGCTGTGGCGTTTTGTGAAATGCTGTGGTGTTTTGTGAAATGCTGTAGTGTCTTGCACTTCAGGGCCACCGTACATTTCATTTGTAACATTATATTTCCTTGTAAAGTGACTTATTATATCTATCCTATTTAAAACAACGTTTAGACTGATACAACTTTTAGGGCCATTTAGTTGTTTATATAGGTTTTACGGTGCTTGGTTAGTGTAAGGTGTTTTTTTTACACTTTTCTAAAGCTTTTGGTAGCGTATCGGGATGTCATATTTCACACATCTCTACTCTGCCTAAGAGTACATGTATTTGTAACTGTTTGTGAATAAATATTTATTACCAGACCATGCCAAAACTTTGATTTCTCTACATAATATTTTCTGCTTTACCAATCATGCGCCTTGCTCCACAGGAACTGTTGACCCGGTCCACTCTGGAGACGCAGAAGCTGGAGCTGATGACGGAGGTGTCCAGTCTGAATCTGAAGCTGACGGCTGTGGAGAGAGACCACAGGGAGAATGAGGTACAACCCCCTCCTCCTGCTGTGTACTGCCATGATAAATAGAGCAGAGATAGCCGAAGTTCTTTTTCATGTGATGTCTGACTCTGAATCCTGGAAGTCACCCACTCATTGTTTTTAAAGTCGCAAAGGTCTGTCGCACTCCACTGGAGGACTCTGTTCTCTGTCATGTGGTGCAGGGTGAACTTCTTTAAGGGTTACAGAGGGGCTTAAACACCCCTTGTGCTCCTGCAGCTGTTTCCTGCCATTACCCCCCACTCTCCCCTCCGGAGGGGCTCAAAGTGTGTGAGAGTTATAGTTTCCATACACTCTGTCCACTAGCTGGGACATATATTCTGGTAATAGAATGTGGTATTTCCAGACAGTAAAGCTCTAAAGGGAGTTGACTAAATTAAATGCAACTGCATGTATGTCTCTTTGTTTCCATTTAGCTCCCATTAAACTTTAAATCAAATCCTAAAGAAAACAGCATTCAGCCCCATGGTAGCCCCTGAACTTCACATTATGTTTACAATCTTTCAAAAACTCTATCAGAACTAGCTTTAGAAATCCTATTTTTAAAATACTCCAGATACTTTTTTTTCAGTATCAAAAGTAAGTTGTTAGTTAGACAGGATGCAGGATGACCAATCGGTGTTGCTGATTTAACAAAAGGCTATACCAAAAGGCAGAGCGGTCAGATGTAACTCACAAATTACACACACCTTCACAATAATAATAATAATAGCTTGGATTTATATAGCGCCTTTCATGAGACCCAAGGTCGCTTTACAACGAAGAACAGGGCAAAACAAACATAACAAAACAAAAGGCAGTCAGACAACCAGTCAGACAGACAAAACAACAAATAGATTAGGGGCCGAAGGCCTTAGTGAACAGATGGGTCTTGAGGGCCCTTTTGAAGGCGTCAAGCGTGGGGATGTTGCGGATCTCCGCAGGGAGAGCGTTCCAGAGGGTGGGGGCTGCCACACTGAAGGCTCTGTCCCCGAAGGTACGCAGTTTGGTGCGGGGGGTGGTAAGCAGGCCAGAGTCTGAAGACCGCAGGTTCCGGAGAGGGGCATGTGGGTGAAGGATGTCCGATAGGTACTAGGGGGCATGGGCATGGAGGGACTTGTAGGTAAGGAGGAGGATTTTGAATGATATGCGGGACTTGACCGGCAACCAGTGGAGGTGGATGAGGATAGGAGTGATGTGCTGCCACGGCTTTGTATTTGTGAGTAACCTAGCAGCACAGTTTTGGACATACTGGAGCCTGTCCAGGGCTTTCTTGGGAACCCCAAACAGGAGACCATTGCAGTATTCCAAGCGGGAGGTGACAAATGCATGGACTAGGGTTTCGGCAACCGACTCCGAGAGTGACGGTCGGAGTCTTGCAATGTTCCTTAGATGGAAAAAGGCCGATTTGGTCACAGACTTGACATGGGAGTGGAAGGAGAGGGTGGAGTCGAGGATGACACCCAGGTTGCGAGCTTCAGGAGATGGGGAGATGGAGCAGCCGTCAGGATGAAGTCACCAACCTGCTGGAGCAGCGCCTTGGGTGCCACAACCATGAGCTGTTTTCCTGCTGTTTAGTTTGAGATAGTTGCATGGCATCCATGCTTTGATGTCATGCAGGCAGTTGATGAGAGACTGAGGGGGGAGCTGGGAGGATGGAGTGGTGCTGAGGTACAGTTGTCATCAGCGTAACAGTGGAAATTGAGTTCATGATGTCGGATGATCTGGCCGAGGGGGAGCATGTAAATGTGAACAGGAGGGGGCCAAGCACAGAGCCCTGGGGTACACCGTGGTGGACTGGGGCCGGGGGTGAATTTGAGCTGTTGATGGAGACAAACTGTCTCCTGTTATGGAGTTAGGATGTGAACCAAGACAGCGCTGTGCCAGTGATACCTAGGAGGTCTGAGAGGCGGGTGAGGAGGATATTGTGAGAGATGGTGTCGAACGCTGCAGAGAGGTCCAGGAGGATGAGGATGCTGAGGCGGCTAGAGTCAGCAGCAATGAGGAGATCGTTGGTGATCTTGATGAGGGCGGTCTCAGTGCTGTGTTGCTGTCTGAAGCCGGATTGGAAGGGCTCATCGAGCTCATGGTTGGACATGTACAGATGGAGTTGGCCGGCGACCACTCTTTCCAGAGTTTTGCTTAGGAAAGGAAGGTTGGAGATCGGCCGGTGGTTCTGGAGGTCGTCGGGGTCCAGGCCAGGTTTTTTGAGTACGGGGTGACTGAAGCCATTTTGAAACTGGTGGGGACTATACCAGAAGCCAGAGAAGCGTTGATGATGACCACCATGTAGGGACAGAGGGTGGGTAGGCAGTCCTTGACCAGGGCTGTGGGCATGAGGTCCAGGGAGCAGGTGGAGGTTTTGGCCGAGCTGACCAGTTTGGCCACTTGGAGAGCATCCACAAGGGAGAAGGAGGAGAGGTTGGAGTGGGAGAGGCGCGGCGCTGTGGGTGCGTTACCAGGTGGCTGAGGTGCAGGTAGGGGGGGAGGGCCAGGCGCCAGGAGCTGCTGATGGATGGCCTCGACTTTCGCCTGGAAGAAGTCGAGAAATTTGGAGCACAGATCGGGAGCCCCTGAGGGCTGGGGGGCGTCAGGGGGGCGGAGTAGGCGGTTGATGGTGGAGAACAGTGTTCTGGGGTTGCTTTGCTGGGCACCGATGAGACGGGAGTAGTAATGAGTCTTGGCGTGGGGAGAGAGCTTCCTTGTAAGTTTTGACATGGTCACCAAAGGCCAGGAGGTGGACCGTGAAGCCAGTTTTTTTGGAGAGCCTCTACAGCTGGCGACCAGAGGCCTTCAAGCAGCGGAGTTCGGTGGTGACCCAGGGGGCAGGGCGGGTGAAGGAAACAGTCTGGGTTTTGATGGGGGCGAGAGAGTTGAGACTGAGGGATAGGGCAGTGTTATAGTGGGCTACCAGGCCGTCCACGGTGGAGTCGGAGGGAGCCGAGGCCATGTGGGTAGGTAGCAGGTCGGATAGGGCCGGTGAACTCATAGTCTTGATGTTCCTAAACATAATGGTGCGTTTGGGATGCTGCCTGGGCAGGGAGACCGAAACAGTGAAGAGGATGGTGTGGTGGTCAGATACAGCCAGGTCGAGGCGCTGTAGGTCGGGGGTCGGAGAGCCGGTAGAGCACACCAGGTCCAGCGTGTGGCCTTTGGTGTGGGTGGGGCCCTGGACATGTTGCTTGATGCTGAAGCAGTCCAGAAGTGAGAGGAATTCAGCAGCGAATGTGCAATTACTGGAGTCCACGTGAATGTTAAAATCACGGAGCAGGAGAGTTGATGGAGACATGGAGCAGAGTAACTCAGACAGCTCAGACAGGAAGATAGTGGAAGCTTTAGGTGGGCGGTAAATGAGGGCAACCTGCAACAATAGTGACTGTAATTCTAAGTGTGTTACTGCAAGAAAAGTAAGCATTCTGAAAAACAGCATATGAGTGTGCTAAAGGTGGACATTATTCTTCCACAATGCATGCACACATGTATTCTACCCTCACAGCAACAACACATTGAATGAATTGCACGGGTATGTGAGACAGCCTTATAGAATGCATTTTTATTTTCCTTGTGTAATTGACTGTGGCCTTCTCAAGAAGCAGTTTCATTTTAACCTTCGAAACTGTATTTATTTTCACTCACTCACATACGATGGAATTTCTAAATGGCACAGAAAATGGAACATTTGCATCCAGAAAAAGGCAATAAATGAATATGCCATAAGCTTAACTAATGGATACAGGTTAGACATCACAGTTTAAATTGATTGAGTAGGGATGTGAAAGTACTAAATAACAATACACATTCAAATGAAAGATTCTCCAAACCCCGGGGCCCCTACACTGTTGCTGATTGGGATGAAAGCAGTTTCGCCGTAAGTGACCCGACATTTTCCCTTTAGTCCAGGATTTGCCTCGATGTGTGATGTGTGGACTCAGCTTCTCAAATTCCCTCCGGTGGGACATCAGTCTGAAACTAATATTTGGTGCTTTTGGCAGGAATTCTCCCACTGTTAAAACAAATTGTGAACTCTCTCCCACACAGTCTCCATTAATCCCCCCCCCGCGGTGCAGGCTTTAAACGGTAACGGGAGTTTCTCTCTCCTCCCCAGGGCTTGTACCAGGAAGTAACGGACCTGCGGTTCAGGGTGACTGACATAGAGAATGACAGACTGCAGTGTGAGAAGAAACTCAAAGCTACCAAAGTGAGTGTGCTAAAAATTCATTTAAACGCTCACATTTGCTATGACAGGAGATCTGAATTCAATTTGAAGATAGTCAAATGTATCATCAGATGTTTGAACCTTGTGATCTTCCCCATGACATCGATCCTCTGCTTCCTGTCTTTACTCCTATCTTACCAAATGCTTCTCTTCCTCCCCCTTTTTTCTAATGTGATTTTAACATCTTTCTGCTACATGCTAACCTGTCAAGCGTCCAAAGCGGAACAGTGGGCGGTTCACTGGAGATGAGGTGAACAAGGTTTGATCTCCAGCCTGTACTCTTCTCCTTTCTGGCCCTTAAGATGCTCTAAACCTGCTTCTTCTCCTCCACTGCTGCACACTGCTTTCCTGACTTTCACCACGCTCGCTGTAAGTGCTTCACCAGTACCGATTAAATGATCAGAACCTGATTAACAACCCCCTTTTTTTGGGTTAACACCTGCAAACTGAAATAACTTATTTAGGGAATCGTTTGCTAAAGTCACTGCTACAAGTATAAACAGTACGATTTTCTTTTCATGGTATCTTTCTACAATTATAAAGTACACATCTTGTTAATCGGTACTTTAAATATTAGCCAGAATTTTGTGTCCAGTGTTTCAGTGTGTCCACAGTTGAGTGAATTTAGTGAATAGTATGAGCTTGCACTGAATTGTGTCACAAACAACCACAGTGTGTTTAATAGAGTTCAGAAATTAACTAACTTAATCACTAACAGCACTACTGACTAACATTTATTTTCAAATGTTATGTTAAATAGGGCACTCCACTAGTTTTACTAAATACATAACATTTGACTAATTACAGAGCGAGTTTTACTATGGTTAAAACATACAGTATGTCTTTCATGGCTCTTAATGAACTTCCGGCGATTTGAAATACCTACATTTGTCTGTTTAATATATTGTAAGTTAAATATCTTTGTGTCTTGGAATTTTTTTTCGAGCCATCTTAAAACATTACCATTGACAATTTGTGATGGGCATCTTTTTTCATTCTTTATAGTACTAAAGACTAAACATTCATATTACAAACAACACGTTTGTGCCTTCTAATGTTTATAATGATTCGCTGTTTTATAATTATTAGTCATGTGACATGTCCTTCACTTTTTTCCTTTACCTTTATTATCACTGTATGGGCTAGGAATGTGTCTAAAGTTTCTAAGGCAATACAAACTCAAACGTAATGTATCAATTTATCTACCCAAGTTGAATTGACAGATCATGTGATGAGACTTGCAGAACCATGACTTCACTCTCTGCTTCCCAGGAGGAGCTGCTGCTGCTGCAGACGCAGCTGGAGGAGCGAGAGGCGGAGCTGAGGATGCTGAAGGAGGAGAGCAGGCTGAAGATGGAGAGCCACAACAGAGCGGAGGGAGGAGAGGGAGGTGGGGGCTGTTCAAATAATTATCTGGCTGCTTCACAGAGTCTAATATTACATTTATGAGGATTAGACAAATAGACATTTCACATTCCACCAACACCAGACCCTCCAGCATCCTCTGTAGAAATAATGGTTGCTTTCATCTGGATTTCCCAATTCATTATTTTTTCTCCGTCTTACATTTCACGGACAAGCAGAACTATAACGAGGAGATTAGAAGCTCTAGTTCTTACTCAACTCCTTATCTGCTTTTATAGGCTACATACCTAACATTCTGACTGCTTCACTCCTCTCTCCCTCGGCTGACCTTATCTCATCCGCTCTGATGGTGGAGGAATGCCATTTATTCAAAGGGAGTCTCTTAACCATGCCTGTAAACACGTGATTATACATCTGATGCAGGTCATCTGGTTGTTTATTCAGACACTGTTAACATCAAATACATGTAGTCAGTGCAGCTTCTTGGTTGTTGTGAATTAGAGGAGACATATTTTTTAAAGATTAAGATTTCATTCAAAATTGGATTCTTATTGATTAATGATCCCACACCTTACTTATCTATCTCAATGTAATGAAAAGACTTTGGATTAGATTCTCTAGTGGTTAGCTCGTATTTAATTGTAGTAAAACACAGAGAGTCCTTGTTTTTGATAAGTTGTGGTGATAATCGACTCAAGACTTCACTGCAGCTACCAACAAACAAGCAGAAACAAGAGCTATAGCTCACTGTTTTGATCCCTTGTGCTGTTATCTGCTTTCAGAGCCAGGGGGGGTTGAAAAAAGTTCCACAAGTTAAGTATCTTTTTTCTTTCACAGACACTGAAGTGTTGAACATGAAGAGGGTGTTGGGGTCACTGGCGTCGGCCAACGATGTGAAGGTACGGTGTGATGCGACGCTGTGGTATGAGGCAACAAATGAGCAGTCGCTTTGATTCATCGAGAAATACATCACACCCAAAATGATCACTTGTTTTACTGAACTTTTGAAACCTTTGAATAAAAGTTCATTATGCTTCCACGGTGAGCAAAGAATCAGAAACAGTGTTCCTGAGTGGAGGTAAATGGTGACTCGTCAACACTCAGACTGTGTTACATAAACAATCTCACACTGCTGTCTTAGCGAGGATTGTTTATGCGGCTATCCTAGACAATTTTCTCCGTTATTTAATTCTTTTTTTCATGCTGAAGCCATGTGAGAAAACCTTTCTAAGAATTCAAGGTTACACCGGGTGAGTCATGGATATTCCAAGGATGATTTTGGGGTTAACTGCTTGTTTATTTTCAGGAACGAAGGATAAAGGAGCTGGAGGAGTCCCTCACAAAGAGCAAGAAAGTGCAGGAGCTGATCATAGGTCAGTGTGATTAAAGATCATACACATTGAAAATAATCTTTATTTTTGTAAAACTAATTTGCATTCCTGTAACTACTACGATGAATAGTTAATGAAGTTTCAGCACTTTATTTTAAAGGCCTCACAACCTCACGTAAATAATAGCAAACATCATGTCTACATATCCAACAGAGCCTTGTAACATTGTACACAATCATCAAATAATACATTTTAAGAATAACGTTTTACTATCGATAGATAGATAAATACTTAATTCATTCGAAATTTGGAAATTATTTTATTACAGCAGCAGTGGGTTCAGGCATTACAATATTTAAAATAAAGTATTAACACAATAAAATACAAATGAAAGGCAAATGTATACATATCTGCAGTGGAAAAGACATGTATCACAAAGAATACACACTATAACATATTCTGGTTGATTTAGAATGTTCTCAAAATACTACAGTAGCAGAAGAGGATAGTATATATATATATATGCATTTAAGTACTTTTAAGGCAGCCTAGAAAGGTGTTTGTAGCTTAATCTGCAGCACATTGTCGTTGACTGTCCTACATGTCCTCTCTCAGAGACACTGAGGGAAGATGACTACGACGATATCGCAGATGATCCCTCGGTCTCTGTTTCCATGGAGGTGGATCAGGACTCGCTGGCGTTGGGACGGGAGGCAGGAAGAAGCTCTGGAGAGGTAAACACAACCTCCTGTCAAAACAATTTTTCACACAGGATGAACCCCAGACTGCAGACTTCCTTTAGAAAAGCTCCATGTCTGCCTCCCACCCTGAGAGCGGTTTCTCCCAGGAATTCAGAGCTCGTGATCGGTGTTAATATTTGTCAGGCTGTGTACATGTTCTGCTGCTGGGAAAATATGTTTATTTAATCCGGTTTTTCTGTGTTGTCTCAGTCCATCCCTTGTATAGCAGTCCTGTCTGAGATGAATGATCTGGACAGAGAGCGACAGCTACAGGCGGCCCACAGGTAACAGTCATCTCAGCGTCACTGAAATATACTTCCTCTATCTTTCATTTCGTCTCAGGGGCGGAATACAAACTGAGAAATATCTGCACAACATATCCATTCATTCTGACAGATGTTGTTTGAGCTTTCTGGAGTTTCTCCTAAGCTATGGGACACTTTGCAAGAATATGCTCTGTATGTGTCAGGGGAGAGGCTACAGGTGGTGTCACAATACAAGTACCTTGGAGTCATGATTGATTCAACACTCAATTTCAAGGAATATGTAATAGGGTCAAATTCAGTCTGTCGAATGTTTAGGTTCACCAGAGATTACATGTCAATTGAGGCATCTCTGATGTACACACACTCTATGGTTGTCTCACACATCACCTACTGTTTAACTACCTGGTCACATGCCAGTACAACAACATTAAAACCACTGGAGTCATTGTACAAACAAACACTCAAAATACTGGACAAAAAATCTGTTTTTTCGCATCACTGCCCAATACTCAAAATCCAACTTGCTAAGCTGGGAAAACCTCATTAAACAAATGCTTGCCTTTTCTACAAGATTGTCAACGGCCTTACCTCACCTCCTCTTAGACAGTTTATTAACATACGCACAACTGCAACTAGGGTAACAAGAGGTGCAGCGAGAGGAGATTGCATTGTTCCACTCAGAAAAAGTTCTTTCAGTCAGTCTTCATTTTCTGTTAAAGCTGCTCAGTGATGGAACTCAATCCCACCTCCAATCAGAGACCAGACCACATTCACTTTATTTAAATCAAAACTCACAATATGGTTAGTGAGGAATCAGCTCTGCCAACACTGACCCAATCGTCTGCTCCTTACAACCCACCGCCTGTGTTTTAACATGTTCTTTTGTTTTGTTTTATTTGTTTTGTTTTAATGTTCTGTATTTTAAATTGTTTTATTTAAGTATCCCAGTAATGTCTGTTGCATGTTTTAAATGTATTGTATTTACTTGTTTAAAATGAAATGTGTTTTAGGTTGACTTTTAAAATCTGTCCAGGGACTACAGATGAAAAATAGCCTCTTGGCTAACTCTGGCACATTTACAGAAATGTTCATTAATGTGCACTGTCCCTGTTAAATAAATGAATGAATAAATAAAATATATGATACAGTTTCCTTTGAGTGAAACAGTTGCTAGTTGTTTAAAGTCCAGCTTCGGTTCAATCAACCAATTATAGTTCAATCGTATCTCTCTTATCTACATTATGTGTCATGAGACTTATGCCCAGGTTAAAAGTCGGCTATGTATTTAAAAAGAAGATTATTTATGTTTGTCTATCATGTCATTTTTTTGAAGTTTATGTAAAAAAATGCCTTAATTCACTCTTTTACACAAGACTAAAGCTAAATAGCATTAAAGCATTTTAGGGAGGTCAGTACACTTTTCTTTAACTTCATTTTCTTTTATTTCAGTAGTTTTTACACCAGTGATTCACCTTTTCATTATGTTATATGTCTGCAAAGTTTCAGTTCTACAACTATACTTGATGCTGAGGATATTTCAGTACGTTTGTTTTATAATAAATAATTGTTGTTGTTGTTTCAGTTCCTCAGACATCCCACAGCCGGACAGCTCGGCCTTCAGCAGCGAGCAGGTCAGGTGACCTCCCATGTCAACATGTTGACTGCAGTTAAAGAATCCAACATAATAATCATATTATCCAATTGAATTTGAATCTATTAGTCTATTAGTTTCTTCCATGAGTCTCCAGTCACAGGACACACTGTGAGAGATGATCCTGCTCCGACACCTGGTGGTTAAACGCTGCAACTACATTTATGTATCAGGCGAGAATATGAAGGTTAAACAGAGGTGGGAAGGTACTCTGAACTTGTACTTAAGTAAAAGTAGAAGAACCAGAGTGTAGGAATACTCATACAAGTCCTGCAATGAAATAGTATCTCAAGTACAACAAATAATCACACCAACCCTTTTTACATTCATTATTTTGTAGAATGTTCTCTCATTATAGTTTTACACTGTAAAAAAGAAAAGAAAAAAACCAACAAATAAAACAAATTGTGTAAATTATCTCATATTTTCATATTCAAGGATTTAATACAATTTCCTTTTCAAAACTATTGCACTAAATGTCATCTAAAATCCTTTACACTCCCTTTAATTGAGATCAACTTTTTAAACATTCTGAATGCTTTAGAGAGCGTGCAAGTTACCGATAATATGTTGGTTGGCTCATAAAAATAATAGTTAGTAACTTTTCTACCTTTTGTATTTCTTTCTTCTCCTAGGCCAAAAACAAAGCAGCCCTGGGTTCCTCGTCTCCCATCAGAGCCGGTGATGAGACCTTCGGCTCGAAGAAGGCCCGCTCCTCTTTCGGCCGCAGCTTCTTCAAACTGCGAGGAGGCAAACAGACCGCCAGCTCTCCAAACCTGGGTAACACTGACGCTGCGATCCATGGAAGTTATCACATTTCCTTTGGTGTTAAAATCACTTTGATGTTTGTCTCTGATCCTGGTGTTTGTTTCACTGCTGGTTGAATTGTGAAGACCGCAGCCGGAGTGCCAGTGCTCCTGCGTTAGGTACGGTAGAGCACAGCCTGCAGATGTTACTCTGGATTAAACAGCTGGATGTGAAGTAACTGCAGTACTGACACTATGTGACCATTTCACCTACTGTAGGTGAACCTGTGAGTCACATGCTGAACAGCTTTCCCTCCACTCTTCTCTAAATCAGTGGTTCCCATCTCTCTGACTTTTCAAACCTCATCATTCTGAGTTTGTTTCAGTCGTGGTTTTCTGGAGATGCAACAATTTCAGTTTTCTTGTCCGATACACATTTTTTACAAACATTTCTGACCTATATGACTGATGGATTGTTGCATCTCTATAATTTTCTCATTTCAAACATTTTGAAGGATTTAAACTAGTTTAAACTCTACTCAAAGTTGGGAATTACTGATAGTTTTTCTCTTAGAGTTTCTTATATCCTGCTCTGGTTGAGGTTTCTCTCCATGATCTCACTGAAGCATCCAGCTGTCCCTTATCCATGACTTTAAACCATCTGCAATGAAGCCGTTTCAATGGAACTTTCCACTTAAATATGTATTTCTCCTTGGTAATGGTTTACTAGTTGCATGGACGGTACAGCTCAGGTTAAACTGTATTTCTTTTAGTTTGTTAACATTGTGTCGTAGTGGTGCGTCTGTAGTTGTTATTTTGTAAACTCTGATCTGGTCCATTCTGGTTATTTATTATGATTATTTTTCACAGCTGAGACGGAACGTAAAGGCACGGATCATCTGGACCTGGCCGGCGTTCCTCCTAAAAAACCTCAGGATGCTCTTCCCTGCTCACCTGAAACCAAGAAGAAGTCCAAGGGCTTCATGAAGTTCTTCGGCAGGTAAGGGTGTGTCAGCTCTATCTAAAGTATTATCATAAGATTCTTGACTGTATCTGTCATTTATACTGTGTGACACTCCTGCAGACTAAAGCGCAGTCACTCTACGTCCTTCAACCTGGATGATGCAGAGACGGAGTTCAGGAGGGGGGGGGTCCGAGCCACCGCCGGCCCGAGGCTGGGCTGGTCCCGCGAGTCCAAACACAGGTCGGTGTCCAACAGGCGTCAGACATGTGAGGCCTGTCTCTGTTCTCTCAACCACTGGATAAACTGTGATGATTACCCCTCTCTGTCCCCTCAGTGCTGTGGACGTCCCCTTCTCCCGCTGGAGCAGAGAGGACGTGTGTGCCTGGCTCCATGAGCAGGGCCTCGGGCTGTATGTGGCCCCGGGGCAGAGCTGGATCAAATCAGGACAGACACTACTGCGGGCTTCACAGCACGACCTGGAGAAGGTTTGTTTAATTAGTCAATGAAATATCAGCTTTAGTTTAGGGTTTTTCTTTATCCAAAATGTGCACTTGGGCATGTTCCTCAACATTTAAACTCAAAGGGAAGGACGGGGATACTCTGAGATGTTTGTATCTGTAAATGTTCCCTGCGTGACGTTGTGTTCCTGTTCCCGGATCAGGAGCTGTGCATGAAGCAGCCTCTCCACAGGAAGAAGCTGCAGCTGGCTCTGCAGGCTCTGGCCTCCGAGGAGGACTACCTCAAATGCAGACTGGACTACAACTGGGTGACCAGTGAGTGTGGCACTCTCTGACGACTGCACTGTCCCCACAGCTTTACATCTAGTCTACATTAATGTCTGTGTTTTTACTTCAGGGTGGCTGGACGACATCGGCCTCCCGCAGTACAAAAGTCACTTTGATGAGGCTCGTGTTGACGGCTGCATGCTGCACTACATGACAGTGGTGAGCTGATGGATCACTAGGGAGATTTATGACTTTTTAATTATTCAATCATTTTGGATGTGTTCATGCATGACTTGAATATTCAGGGTTGAAGTTGATAAAAGATTGAACTCTGTGAAAGTGCAACATAATGTTAATTCAACTACTTATGGCCTTTTTCAACTCTTTAAAAGTAGCTTTGATGTCCTGAAAGGGAACAAAATCAAAGTGGGACTCAAGGGTTAAACATTTGTCATGTAGCCCTGGAGCCTTTGTGGACAAAATGAAACTCTCTGACATGAAAGTGACAGGAAACGTTTTTTTGGAAGAAAGGTTGTTAATCATTATTTTATATTCTGGCTGAACTTTCCCACTGAATAAACCATAATGCCTTCTTTCTTTTCTCGCCTGCTTCCCAGGAGGACTTGCTGTCTCTGAAGGTGGGCAGTGTCCTCCATCACCTCAGCATCAAGAGGGCCATCCAGGTCCTCCGCCTCAACGGCTACGCCCCCAACTGTCTGAGGAGACGGCCCTCTGATGAGGTACAGGAAGTCTCAACCCAAACTCTCCCTCATTTTGTTTAATTTCACATGTATGCACCCCTGACATCCGGACTCTTTTCCACGGACTCTTCCCCCCCCTCCAGAACAACATGACGCCAGCAGAGATCTCCCAGTGGACCAACCACAGGGTGATGGAGTGGCTGCGCTCCGTGGATCTGGCCGAATACGCCCCGAATCTGAGGGGCAGCGGTGTTCACGGAGGACTGATGGTGAGAGGGGGGGGGGGGCACAGCAGGTGTAGAGGAAATGTAACTAACACAGCCCAAACTGGGGGCAGGGTGAATATTGCTACAGATGTCTTTTAAAAACAAATCTATCAAAAAAAGGTCATAGGTGTTGAAAAATGCAACACTTGTTTATTTTGTTTCCTTCCTGACGTCTCCCTCCTGACCTCTCCTCATGGTGTTTTCTGAAATGTCTTCACACTCTGAAGGTGTTGGAGCCGCGCTTCAACGTGGAGGCGCTCGCCCTGCTGCTCAACATCCCCTCCAACAAAACCCTGCTGAGGCGCCACCTGGCCACTCACTTCCACCTGCTCATCGGCTCCGAGGCGCAGAGACTCAAACAGGACTGTCTGGAGAACCCCGACTACTGCGTGCTCACCGCCACCACCAAGGTCAAGGTACTGCTGTACACACACACACACACACACACACACACACACACACACACACACACACACACACACACACACACACACACACACACACACACACACACACACACACACACACACACACACACACACACACACTGGAGCTTCAATCATTTACCAACAGAGCTGATTTGATCTCACTCAAATGACAGATTAGGGTCATTTTGTACTTTTGATGAATACAAATGGATTGTTTCATTTAAAAATGTAATGCGTATTGTACAGATTGAACTGCCTATTTTTTGCAAATAATCACACATTCAAATGTTTTTATTTTAGTCGCCCCAGCTCTACTTAAAATGTCTGTACTGAATATAAATAAATGTCAACAACTTGCTTATCGTCCTCCTGCAGCCTAGACACCTGTCATTCGGGGGTTTCGGCACTTTGAGGAAGAAACGCCATGACGATGGCGAGGAGTACGTGTGCCCCATGAACGTGGAAATGCCAAAGAGCAGCAGCTTCCAGGTGGGGGGCCAGATCTACGAGGAGCCCCTCAACCACCTGGAGCAGGTACGGAGAAAACTTCACTTCTGATTACTGGAGAGTTTTGAGTCTGCTTTGGCTTTTTCCTGACCCTCCGTTTGTGTGCATTTTGCAGATGGAAGACTCTGAAGGGACCGTGAGACAGATCGGAGAGTTTTCTGAGGAAATCAACAATCTGACGGTGAGACGCTGACCCAAAAAAAACCATTGTTGGTTTTCCTCCCCCCGACATAAACAGCAGCAGGAAATTACAAACTGGAAGGCTTTAACTGACCGTTAACCTCTCTGTGTTTCAGAGCATGCTGAAGGAAGACGAGTTCTTTCACGAGATATCTGTCGACGCAGCAGAACACGATCACATCTCCGGTGTTTGATGGAGACGCTTTGTTAGAAAAGATCAAACTGTGCCAACCAGAATCTAAACCCCTCCACCTCCCCCCACCCACCTTTGTAGTAGACATGCTAGACCTCCACCCTGACATTATTCTCATCCTTCAGAAGTGCAGCCATATCTTTTATTACAATATATATATTTATTAAACATATAATGCATGAAGTGAAAATGCCAATGTATCCTTTTTAATTATTCAAGCATGTGAGTTTCATTTTGAGTGAAGTAGGCATACTTGTTATTTCTCCATTTTTATTTTGAGTGTCGTACTCAAGTGCGCGGAGTCATTTTTCTTGTGGTACGTGAAGTTGTTCTTTTTTTTACAGCAGAATTTCTTTTTTTTCTACAACAGTTTTGGGATTCTGTATTCGCTTAGCATAAAGACTGGAGGGTTGGCTTTCTCTAATGTTATATATTTAACATGAATCTCAAGGCTTTTCACCGAACATAGTTACGTCTTCCTAGAACTGAAATAATTAGTGGCTGGTAACAGATGTTTTTCAATCTGCTTCCAGTCTTTATGCCAAGCTCAAAAACACCAAGTGTATTGATCCTGTTTTTTTGCCACATGTCTAACTTTCCTTTAAGATATTCATGATTGAAAGTAAATATGAAATGCCAAAGTCATTGTTTTTAAATTTTGATAATAAAAACGAGAAACTTATTTTTATCTCCGTCTTTTTTTATTTTTTTCCACAAGTATTTTTATTGGGCCATCAATCTTAAACATAAACTGTTGACATAAGATCACCGATTTTACATTTTTTTTACAACAAACATGGCATCCCCCCACCGAAAAACCGAAAAGTGTCACAATACGATATAAGAGGAGCAAAAATAAGTAAATAAAAAATACAAGAGGATATCATAAAAGCACAGAAATACAAATAAACACTGTGTTGCACAATGGGCTGCATGACCATTCACACGCCAAGGGAGACAATTACTTATCATTGCATTATAACCGTCCAGTCTCAAAATAGTAGCTACAGCGTACGTACATTAATGAGTAATAGGATTATCTAATCCCCTAAAGAAGGAATATAATTAACAAAAGAGAGAATAGGATCCCAGGTTTTGCTAAATGTATCAGAGCATCCCCTTATACTAAATCTTCTCTAAGTATAAGAAAGACATTAAGTCTTTCAACCACGACTGAGAAGATGGAGGTTTCTGGTCCTTCCACTGCAGTAAAATACGTGTGAAGCAAAAGCAATAACATTGCTCTCCTTGTTTGTGAAATTCCTCAGGGACACCAAAAATAGAAATTGAAGGGCTTAGGAACCACCGGTTTATTGAAGGCCTTCGAGAGTGTATCATAAAAAGAGGACCAGAATGAACCCAGTTTTGGACAGGAGAAAATGGGGGAGTTGTGCCAAGTGTGAATCTTTTGAATATTGGCCGCCCAATAGTATGCCAGAAGATTAGGTAGAGCAAGGCCACCATCTTCTTTAGTCCTTTGTAGGACAGAATATTTTACCCTTGGGGTCTTTCCTTCCCAAATAAAAGATGAAATAGTCTTGTCTAAGTCCTTAAGTGTGAGAATACTCTGGCTCTTTTAGTAGGCCCGCCAAGTCCTCTGACATTCCAGCTTGTAAACCTGATCCTTGTGTAGCTCACAGGCCGTTTCTCAATCGCGAGTACACATGCTGCAGAGCAACTATTTCAAGTATACTACGTCAGAGTGGCGCAGAATGCTGGGCATTTAGATTTAACATGCATTTAAACAGTCCTTCGGCGCCACTCGATGACGTAGTATACTTGAAATAGTTACTCTGCAGCAGTTTTACTCGCGATTGAGAAACGTCCTCTGTCTCATATCAGCCTTTGGAATAATATGATGAAATTATGAATTAGCCAGTAGGCTACAACACAGAGCAAGGTAACAACTTCAAATGTGTTATAAAGATGGGCACCAATGAAAAAAGTTCCTCTCGTATTGAGAAAAAAGAGAAAGAAAGAAACACCCCAACGAGATCAGATGTCTGAATCTCTTACAAAACCCTACAACCTTGTCCTAAACTAATCCTATTACATAGATGAGCACGCAGGAAATATTCTGCACACCTCCGGTTAACTACGGTGTAGTTGGCTTCCCTTCAAAATGTATAATTATACATATACATCCCCAGCTGAATTGCAGTCATTCCCCAGTCAAACGAGACAGCAGTGACCTCTATTGGCCTAGCAGGGAGCTGCAAGTAATGTCTAATTTAAAGTGGACCTATCATGCTATATTTGAATACTATATTGTAGGGCCATACCTATATAAAAAATGTCTGTGAAGTTTTTTTTTCAAAATACCAAACAGATCCTGCATTTTAGCCATGCCTCATTTCGCTCTATTTGCTCTTTCCAGCCCTGTTTTTGCAAGGGCTGATTCTATGACGTAGCTTTAATGCAAATGAGCAGCAGCTGACCACGCCCCCCTGCAGGAGAGGGGAGCATGCTTTGAGATCAGCTGCTGGGCTCTCAGAAGAGGGGGAGAAAAAGAGATCTCCATCCTCCGTGTTTTATTCTTATATGATTATATAGAGTAGGGGTGCCCAACCAGTCGATCACGATCGACCGGTCGATCGCAGGGAGATTCCCAGTCGATCGCGAGATGTGTCTAAAAATAGAACAACAATATTCTGTTTTATCGTTAATGTCCTATAACATAATCTTCCTGTGCCAGAATAATGCACTTGAACGCATCAAAGCTTTGTGATTGGCCGGCTAGACCCCATGTGTCGGGGCGTGGCTGGTCGGCAGTGGGCACTATTTCGCTGAGGTTGTCCGTGTCAACAACAGGAGTGACAGTCCGCACACACACAAGACCGCAATTATGGCAGAAGCAAAAAAGCCCAAAATATATCATTTTCACTCCAAGTGGGAGGATGATTATTTTTGTATCTATTCCAATTCAAAGTCCATCTGTCTCATCTGCAATGCGAGCGTGGCTTTATCGAAGAAGGGTAATTTAGGAGCGGCATTTCAAAACAGTGCACAAAGGCTACGAGACGGAATTCCCTCCTAATTCTGCCCTACGCTCCCAAAAGGGGAGGGGCCTGAAAGGACAGCTAAATGCACAGCAGTCCATTTTCACCAGGCCCAACAATATGGCGTTATATTTGTGCCTCTATCCTGAGCACGCAATGAAACATGTTGAGCATAGAAAATGCGATTGAGCGCGCACTTGAACATTTTTGAGCACAGAGAAATATATTTTCTCTCATAAAACTCCTGCTCCGTGCGCAAGCAGACCGCTGCACGCGCTCTCTCTCCCCCGCTCGCTCGACCTCTCCAGCCTGTGCGCGCTCAGCTTTGCCTGCGCTCGCTCAAGTTGTCAGCGTTACAAATGTGCCACAAAACCAACCAATCGGAGAACTCGAGAAGGTCAATTCTGATTGGCTGGTCCAGCGCCATGTAGAGAGAAGAGTTGCTACAGTGGAAGTCCAAAATGCTTGATCGTCACGTGGTTCAGAGACTCAGAAAGTTCCCGGAAGTTCGTGGCGGGCCATTTGAATCACGATTTGAATGCATTAATAACAGGATAGAAATGCAATTTTTGGAAATTAGTGGTCAATAAAGGTTTTGATTTGCAATATGTATACAACATATCGATATGTGTATGTAGTTACATCAATGTGTGTGTTTTTTTTTATTTAAATGTGCTAATATTTGAGGATTAAGATAAAATAAGAAGTAGCCTACTTTATTACCAATTGGGGAAATGTTTACGCTGCAGCAGCAAAAGACAAGGAGGCATTGTACATTAGACAGTTAAAAGACTATAATTAAACAATCGAAAATGTAAACATCTTAAATAGAAATAACATAGCATTACAACGTAGAAAGTAGAAAATATACATAGTGTGATCAGCTATCTTACCTGTTAACATACATGTTAGGCTAACGTTGCCTTGGTTAAAGAGCCTGTTGTTTATTGCTTTGAATTCTTTAAAACAAATATTATCTTCGTAAACCTGTATGGTAGTCAGGAGCATCACATCCTAATGTTTAATATATTTAGAGGGTGGGAAGGAAGGTTTAAAAATTCTGATTAGATACATTTCTACCATTTCTTTAATTCATGGTGGTTTTAGTAATCCCCTGGTAATTGAGGACACAAGTAATCTAAATGACTAATGTCATCTTTATGACTTTCAGAAAGTACAGGAGACCCACAGGTGCCTATATCAATGATTGTCAACTGACAGCACAATGAGTCAAAGGGCTAGCAGCAGCATGATGATGTTAAATGTGTTGCTTTAGGAACATCCATTGTAAATAAATGGAATTCAATAAACATTGAATAGCATATCATGCCGTTTGTCTGTGCCTTTTCCTCTGTGTTGTCCTGGCATATCGTCTCCCCCATGGTTTGCTGTGCTGCCTAGGGATGCTCCAATCGCTCAGAGAAAGGAGTATGAATGCAAAGTTTCCCCACTGACACAGAGAGGAGGAAAGAATGGCTGGCTCAAGTCAGCAGGAGCAATTTAACTATCACAAAAGATAACAGCAACAACATATGTGAGGTAATCATATTTTTCACAAAACGAAGACCACACCATTGGGAAGCTTAACGTTTAATCAAAAATAAAGAACAGGGAGAGGCTTGCAAAACTCTGGGAGTTGAGACTCAGGTGCAGGGTGAGGGTCTCATTGCAGGTCTTCAGGCTCCATTGAATCCCCCTGGGGTTCTTGTGCTGAGAGAGGGAGACAGGAGAAAGGGTTAGATACATCTAGCAATAGGGTGGGAAATTGCTGACCTATTTTAAACTTACCTTGTGTTTTCACTCTCACTTAAAGAGCCTGTGACACGAGTTTCCCCCATCATCCAAACCCATCAATTTGAGTAAATATTGTCCCCTTGAAAACCGTTACTGAACTGATTTTGGATATTTGTACTTTGATAACCATTAATCTGCCCTTCAATGTTGACCATTTCCTGGATCTGCTCGGGGATTCTTCAAGTCCCGCCAAATTACGTGTGACGTCATTGCGGGCACAGTGCTCCAGCTGCACCGTTCAGGATCCCAGCATCTGCATGTAAATGCACGATGGCGCACACAGTAGCAAGCTCAGACAGCGATGACAGTTTCATTTTGAACGTGTCTGAGAGCTCATATGAGGCTGAAGGATCGGTTTATGTTGTATCTGTTAGAAGTTTAGGAATTAGGTGCGTCAATATGGGCGATCATACGGTCATGTAGCCAGTGGAGGAATGGGACTAAAAATCATCCCGGGACTCTCGACCGGCCCACTTCGGTACCGCTAGTAAGTTGTCAACGGGGGGAGTGGAGGATGTCAGGGGCGGCGGGTGCTGTAGATAGTAAATGTAAATATGTAAATATTTGTGTCACTGCATCCTGGTAAAATACAAATATAATGCAATGTCTGTGTCTTTGACATTAGCGCTGCCAGCCACCTGTGCCCTGTACTACGAAGCAAGTTCAACAGACCCTGGATATGTTTGAGTAACAAACAAACTAACAACAACAAACTAACAAACGAGATCTCGCTAAGCGGTCCTACGACGCTGGTTATCAACTCGGTAAATCAAGCCAGGGTTTCTCTCACCAGCTGAGAGCGCGTTCACGTCTAAGACACGAGTGGATCTGACTTTAATTACATTTGACTCGAGTGTTTCGTCAACATAATGTGTTGCTAAAAATAATACTTCTG